GGGGGGGGGGGAGGGAATTGTGAAGTTGGCACACCTACCCCATGTGTGCAATTCTCTTTGATCCCCTCCAGTGGTTTTCTCCCGAAGGCTTCCGGACTTTGTTCGCCCTGGTTGGGACCAACGGACAAGGCATAGGGACCAGGTAAGTCCAGGGTACCAATTTAATAAAGTCAAGGGTACAAATTTAATAACTACAGACAGTACCTGCATTAACGGAGGGATAGAATCAACATCAGCTGAAGTGTTAATACCACTTTACAAGGCCTTGGTAAGGCCACACCTGGAATACAGCATCCAGTTTTGGTCACCATGATGTAAAAAAGATGTTGAGACTCTAGAAAGAGTGCAGAGAAGAGCAACAAAGATGATCAGGGGACTGGAGGCTAAAACATACAAGGAATGGTGGCTGGAATTGGGGATGTCTAGTTTTAACGATGAGAAGGACGAGGGGGGACATGATAGCAGTGTTCCAATATCTCAGGGGCTGCCCCAAAGAAGAGGGAGTCAAGCTCTTCTCCAAAGCACCAGAAGGCAGGACAAGAAGCAACGGATGGAAACCTCATCAAGGAGAGAAGCAACCTGGAACTAAGGAGAAACTTCCTGACAGAACAATTAACCAGTGGAACTACCTGCCTCCAGAAGTGGTGAATGCTCCAACACTGGAAGTTTTTATGTAATGTTAGGAAGCATTACGGCTAGCCTTTGATTTACAACCGTCGATTTAGTGACCGTTGGACGTTAGGGTGGCACTGGAGAAAGTGACTTAGGACCCTTTTTCACACTTAACGACCGTTGCAGCATCCCCGCGGTCACGTGATCCAAATTCGGACACTTCGCAACTGACTCACATTTATGACGGTCGTGTGTCCCAGGGGCGTGACTCCCTTAACCACGGCGGTGATTGGCTTAAGAGCTGTGGCCAGAAAGGTCGTAAAAATGGGGCAAAACCCTCCCATAACGAGCGTCGCGCTCGTTGTTAAGCAAGGCCATGAGCTTTGTCCCGTTATATGACCTTTCCTGCCACCATCGTTAAGTGAATCAATGCAGTTAAAGTTAGTCCCAATGGCTTCCCCATTTTCAGGGCTGTTGTAATTTCGAACAGTCACTAAATGGACTGACGTAAGTCGAAGACTACCTCTGTGTATGAAAGAAATAAATTGGGAGTAACCTCGGTTTATTCCTGCATTTGGGGATTACAAGTTCTAGCTTAGGAGTGTCCAATCTTGGCAACTTTAGGATGCATAGACTTCAGTTCCCAGAATTCCTGGTTGGCTGGATAGAATAGAATATAGAATAGAATAGAAATAAGAATGGAATAGAGTAGAATAGAATAGAGTAAAATAGAATATAGAATATAGAATATAGAATATAGAATAGAATAGAATAGAATAGAATAAGGGATAGAATAGAATATAGAATAGAATAGAATAGAGAATAGAATAGAATAGAATAGAATAGAATAGAGAATAGAATAGAATAGAATAGAATAGAATAGAATAGAATATAGAATAGAATATAGAATAGAATAGAATAGAATAGAATAGAATAGAATAGAATAGAATATAGAATAGAATATAGAATAGAATAGAATAGAATAAGGGATAGAATAGAATATAGAATAGAATAGAATAGAGAATAGAATAGAATAGAATAGAATAGAGAATAGAATAGAATAGAATAGAATAGAATAGAATAGAATATAGAATAGAATAGAGAATAGAATAGAATAGAATAGAATAGAATATAGAATAGAATATAGAATAGAATAGAATAGAAGAGTTGGAAGGGACCTTGGAGGTCATCGAGTCCAACCCCCTGCTCAGGCAGGAAACCCTATACCATTTCGGACAAATGGCTGTCCAGTCTCTTCTTAAAAACTTCCAGTGTTGGAGCATTCACCGCTTCTGGAGGCAAGGAGTTCCACTGGTTAATTGTTCTCACTGTCAGGAAGTTTCTCCATAGTTCTAGGTTGCTTCTCTCCTTGATCAGTTTCCATCTGTTGCTTCTTGTCCTGCCTTCAAGCGCTTTGGAGAATAGCTTGACCTCCCACCCCCTTTCTTTGTGGCAGCCTCTGATTGTAGCCCCAAAGAAATCTAGGGCAGGTTTAGACCCCTGCCCCACTTTTTTGTGGGCTTTCCCTCTCTCTTTCTCTCCCTCCCCCGCAGCTCCCTGAGTCAGTGGGTCCGCGCCTGCGACGCTCTGGAGCTGCCCACGCAGGAACGGGAGCAGCTGGACGCTTTCATAGACCAGCTCTACAAGGACATTGAGAAAGGTGGGCCGGAGACCCCCCACCCCAGCCCCGGGAAGGCCCTTGACTTGCTGGGGGGAGGGGGGAGGGCGGGATGGGTCTTTGGGGGCAGGAGGCTCCTGGGGGGGGTAGCATCCCCACATCATGCTGGTCTGAAGGAGCTACTGAAGGTCTTCGAGATCAGAGGGTGAAGGGCTGATGCTTTCAAAGAGCTCAGAGAGGGGTCCAGACCTTCCTTCCTTCCATCCCTCCCTCCCATCCATCTCTCCTTCCTTTCTTCTTTCTCCCTCCCTTCCTTCCCTCTGTTCCTCCAATCTCTCTCCTTCCTTCCTTCCTTCCTTCCTTCCATTCCATTCTTCCCATCTCCTCCCTTCCTTCCTTCATTTCTCCCTCTTTCCACCCATCCATTCCTTTTTCTTCTTTCCCCCATCTATTTCCTTCCTTCCTTCCATCCATTCCTCTTTTTTTCCTCCCTCCCATCTATCTTCTTCCCTCCCTCCCTCCCTCCCTCGCTCTGTCCCTCCAATCTCTCTCCTTCCTTCCTTCCTTCCTTCCGTTCCTCCATCCTTTCCATCTATTCCTCCCTCCCTCCCGTCCCTTCCTTTCTCTCTCTTCAATCCATCTATTCCTCTTTTTCTTCCCTCCCATCTATTTCCTTCCTTACATCCATCTATCCATCCCCTCCATCTCTCTTTCTCTTTCCTTCCTTCCATCCATTCATTCCTTTTTCTTCCTCCCTCCCATCTATCTCCCTCCCTCACTCGCTCTGTCCCTCCAATCTCTCCTTCCTTCCTTCTCTTCCTCCATCCTTTCATCTATTCCTCCCTTCTGTCTCTTCCTTTCTCTCTCTCTTCCTTCTATCCATCCATTCCTTTTTCTTCCTCCCATCTATCCCCTTCCTCCCTCACACTGTCCCTCCAATCTCTCTTCCTTCCTTCCTTCCTTCCTTCCTTCCTTCCTTCCTTCCTTCCTTCCTTCCTTCCTTCCTTCCCTTCCTCCCTCCTTCCATCCTTTCCATCTATTCCTCCCTCCCTTCCGTCCCTTCCTTTCTCTCTCTCCTTCCTTCCTTCCATCCATTCCTCTTTTTCTTCTTCCCTCCCATCTATTTCCTTCCTTCCATCCATCTATCCATTCCTTCCATCTCTCCTTCCTTCCTTCCATCCATCCATCCATTCCTCTTTTTCTTCCTCCCTCCCATCTATCCTCCCTTCTTCCCTCCCTCCCTCCCCCTCCCCAGACAGGCCGAAACAGACCCCCCCTGTGTATCAGAAGAGCCACGAGCTCCTCCCTCCCTCCTCGCCCTCCGCAGCCCCCCAGATGTGCAGAAGTGCCCCCCTAATTCTCAGGGACGGCCATGGAGGTGGGACAGGACCACGAAGGGGGGGGCAGCTGTTAGAACTTTGCAACTGGGCTTGAAGTATCTTTTTTGGGGTGGGGGGGATATCTGTCATAACTTGGGATGGTTGCTAAGCGAGCCGTCGTAGAGCGAGGACTCTCCGAGTCAGTCGCTGGGCCTGCTCCGGACGTGGTTCCGGCCACCGTCCGCCGGCCTCCCCTCACCGCCTCTCTCTTTGTCTCTTTGGATGTAGAGACAGGGGACTTCCTGAACTGCGAGGGCTCCGGCCTCTACGTGCTGCAGAGCTGCTGTGAGTAGCCGGGACCCAGCGGATCTCCTGGGCCGGATCTTGGCCGACGAGGCCAGCCAGGAGCGGCTCCCTCAGCCGGACACCCGTCCTCTCTCTTCCTTCTTGCAGGCAACCACAGCTGCATCCCCAACGCCGAGGCCTCCTTCCCGGAGAACAGCGGCCTCCTGCATCTGAGCGCGGTGGAAGACATCCCCCAGGGAGAGGTGAGGTGTCAACAGAGCATGTGAAGAATTCTAGGTTAGCCACCCTTTCCCTTCCCTTCCCTCTCCTCCCTTCTCTCTTCCCTTCCCTTCTCTCTCCTCCCCTTCCCTCTTCTCCCTTCTCTCTTCCTTTCCTTCCCTCCCCTTTTCTCTCCTCTCCTCCCTTCCCTTCCCTTCCATTCTCTCTTCCTTTCCTTCCTTTCCCTTCTTCATCCATTTACTTCCTTTCCTTCTCTTCCCTTCTCTCTTCCTTCCCTTCCCTTCCCTTCTCTCTTCCTTTTCTTTCCTTCCCTTTCCTTCCCTTCCTTTCCCTTTCCTTTCCTTCTCTTCCCTTCCCTTCCCTTCTGTTCTCTCTTCCTTTCCTTTCCTTCTCTTCCTTTCCTTCCCTTCTCTTCCTTTCCTTTCCTTCCCTTCTCTTCCTTTCCTTTCCTCTCCTCCCTTTCCTTTCCTTCCCTTCCCTTTTGTTCTCTCTTCCTTTCCTTTCCTTTCTTTCTCTTCCTTTCCTTGCCTTCCTTTCCTTCCCTTCCCTTCCCTTTCCTTCTCTCTTCCTTTCCTTTCCTTCCCTTCCCCTCTCTCTTCCTTTCCTTCCCTCCCCTTTCCTCTCCTCCCTTTCCTTCCCTCCCTTCCCCTTCACACTTAGGACCATTGCAGCATCCCCACGGTCATGCGACCAAATTTCAGATGCTTGACTCGTATTTATGACAGTTGCAGCGTCCCAGGGGTCCCGTGATCCCCTTCTGCGACCTTCTGACGAACAGAGTCAACGGGGGAGCCCGATTCGCTTAGCAACCGTGTTATTGACTTAACAACTGCCGTGATTCCCTTAACAACTGTGGCAAGAAACGTCGTAAAACAGGGCAAAACTCACTTAACAACTGTCTAACTCAGCAGTGGAAATGTTGAGCTCAGTTGCCGTCCTAGGTCAAGGGTTCCTTGTAATAAGCTGGCACCGGCCAGGGGTTGGATAAGGGCCAAGGGAACTCAAGGGGACTGTTTGTGGCCACGTAGGGATTGCAGGCTGATCCCTCTTTTGACTCCGCCCCCAGGCTCGGCCACTCCTCCTCCTCCAATCCCGGACTCTGAAGACCCAGGCAGGGGCTGCGTTTCCCGGAGCCAGACATTCCTTCCGGCTGTCTTGGCTGTTGCTTTGCTAGCTTGGCCTTCGGTTTGTGCAGTTGTGTTTTTCTCCACACAGGAGATCTGCATCAGCTACCTGGACTGCTGCCAGAGAGAACGGAGCCGACACAGCCGGTGCAAAATCCTACAGTGAGTGAGGATCTCTGTGTGTGTGTATGTGTGTCTATCTGTTTATCTGCCTATTTGCCTATGTCTGTCTCTCATCTCTGTCTGTCTGTCTGTCTGTCTGTCTGTCTGTCTGTCTGTCTGTCTGTCTGTCTGTCTGTCTGCTATCTATCTATCTATCTATCTATCTATCTATCTATCTATCTATCTATCTATAATCTAACATCTGTCTATTCATCTATCTATATCATCTATCTTCTATCTATCTCTATTTATCTATCTATCTATCTATCTATTTATCTATCTATTTATCTATCTATCTATCTATCTATCTATCTATCTATCTATCTATAATCTAACATCTGTCTATTCATCTATCTATATCATCTATCTTCTATCTATCTCTATTTATCTATCTATTTATCTATCTATCTATCTATCTATCTATGTATCATCTAACATCTATCTATTCATCTATCTATATCATCTATCTTCTATCTATCTATCTATCTATCTATCTATCTATCTATCTATCTATGTCTGTCTATCTGTCTGTCTATACATCTATCTATATCATCTATCGTCTATTCATCTATCTTCTATCTTCCATCTTATTTATCTATCTATCTATCTATCTATCTATCTATCTATCATCCATCTATCTTCTATCTCTATGTCTGTCTGTCTGTCTGTCTGTCTGTCTATCTATTCATCTATCTATATCATCTATCTTCTATCTATCTATCTATCTATCTATCTATCTATCTATCTATGTCTGTCTATCTGTCTGTCTATACATCTATCTATATCATCTATCGTCTATTCATCTATCTTCTATCTTCCATCTTATTTATCTATCTATCTATCTATCTATCTATCTATCTATCTATCATCCATCTATCTATCTATCTATCTATCTATCTATCTATCTATCTATCTATCTATCTATCTATCTATCTATCTATCTATCTATCTATCTATCTATCTATCCATCCATCCATCCATCCATCCATCTCCTATCATCTATGTAACATCTATCTATCCTCGCTCTCTCTTTATCATCTGTCTGCCTGTATATCTATCTATATATCTTGAGTGATCTTTTTACGATGCACCCTGTCAGCCCAAATATTAGAAGAAGAAATGAGAGCTAACTAGCTGGAAATAGCTATACCGGTCTCCCTTTAACTCTTTGTTAGCAATCCAAAATTTCACACACACACACACACACACACACGAGGCAGTTCAAACGGGGATCAAAGTTGATTGCAAAATTCTGCTCCCTACAAGAATCTGAACGGCTAATGACCAAAGTATCCCAAAGGTGCTTTTTTTCAGGAGGCAACTGGACTTCCTTCTATTCCTTTGAAGACGTTTCGCTTCTCATCCCAGAAGCTTCTTCAGTTCTGACTTAATGGTGGGGAAGGGAAGGATTTATCCTCCTCGCAGACCGCTGGTCCTTTGCCTTCTTTTAGGGAGTCGTTGAGGCCACTTGGAGATGACCCCGAGGACTCAGGTAAACCCCCAAATGGCCTCAACAACTCTCTAAAAGAGTTGCAAATGACCAGCGGTCTGCAAGGAGTATAAATCCTTCCGTTCCCCACCATTCAGTCAAAGCTGAAGAAGCTTCTTTGGATGAGAAGCGAAACGTCTTCAAAGGAAAACATGAAAATCCAGTTGCTGGCATCTCTTGTGGGCGCAAAGAGACTCTAAACTCATAGCGCGTTTGACCCTCCCTCCCTCCCTCGGCCACAGCTTGGTCATCTCCTACAGGCCTTCCTCAACGTATTATTCTCCGTAAGGGAGCCTGCCCAGGTAGGGTTCTCCGTCCTAATGGTCGCATTTTTAACTCCTTCACCGCGAGGACGTCGCAAGCCGAGCCCCCCCCCACCGTCGTAAACCGAGGCCTACCAGCAAATCTTCCGTCTTGCGAAATTCTTCCATCTCTCTCTCTCTCCCTCTCTCTCTTCCCCCCCTCAAAAAAATCCCCTAGGGAAAACTACTTGTTCATCTGCTCCTGTCCCAAGTGCCTGGCTCAAGCCGAAGATCCCGACGTCACGTCGGAGGAGGAGGAAGAGGAGGAGGAGGAAGCCGAAGGGGAGCCCGACGGCGCAGAGCTGGAGGACGAGATGACGGACGTTTGATCTGGCCTCCGGGGGAGGGTGGGGGCAGATTGGGTGGGGTGTGAATGGGAGGGGAGGGGGACCCCTCTAGAGTCCCTAGGGCTGTGGTGGGGAAGAGCATCCTGGTCAGATGGTGGCTTGAGAGGAGGTGGATTGGGGGGGAGGGGAAATGGGGCGGCCAGGGAGGGACCCATCATGCCTCTTGACCCACAGGCTGCCTAGGGGGTGACCCCTGGACACCCAACCTGGTGGGGAGCAGAAGACACCCCCCCTCCTCGGCCTCCATCTCCAACAGAAGGGGGTTTGGCAAACCTAACCTGGTTTGCCTCTCAGCCTTGCCTTAAGGGTGTGGGGTGTGTGTGGGGGGGTCTAATCCTGGCCCCGATCCGCACCCGTCTCTCCCCTCCCCCTTTCCAGCAAAGAGAAGCAGAGAAACCTGGTTTTCCGTGCAGCTAGTCCTCTACTTACGACCAAACAGTCCGTCGCTAAGCGGGATGTTTGAGCAGCGGGTTTTGCCCCATGGTGACCCCTTTCCTCGGCTCCGTTGTTCAGTGAATCACCCCCCTCCCCGTCGATAAGTGGGCCGCCCGGTCGTTAAGTGAATCCTGCTTCCCCCCCCCCTTGACTTGGCTTGTCGGGGGGGGGTTGCCAAAGAGGATCACGTGACAGACACACACACCCCGCCAGATGCTGCGACCGTCATAAATACGAGTCGGTGGCCGAGAGGCTGTATTTTTGATCAGGTGACCGGTGGGGGATGCGGCAACGGTGACAAGTGTGGGGAAAAACCGGTCCCGAGTCGCTTTTTTTCAGCGCCGTTAACGGCCGCTAAGCGAGCTGTTGTAAGTCGAGGACTACCTGACTCTCCTTTCCTTTCCTCTGCTCCAGCTGTGGTCTCCAGCTCTGCAAAACAGCCTCGGCCCCAAAACATTGGGCGCATTTCAAGATGGCGGCTGGGCTGGGTGTTTTGGGGGAGACTCACCTGGCCTACAGAGAAGAGATCCACGGGGCACCCTCCTTCCTTCCTTCCTTCCTTCCTCCCTCCATTTTTTTCTCTCTCCTCCCTTCTCTTTCTTTCCTTCCATCCTCCTTCCTTTTTTTCCTTTTCCCATCTATCTCTCTCCTTTCTTCTTCCCTCCCTTCCTCCTTCCCTCTTTTCCTTCTTTCCTTCCTCTCTTCCTCCCTCCCTCCTCCCTTTTCCTTCCTTTCTCCCTTTCCTCCCTCTTCCTTCCTCCCTCCCTCCTTTCTCCTCCCTCCCTTCCCTTATCTTCCTCCCTCCCTCTTTTCTTTCCCTCCCTCCCTCCCTACGTCCCCTTACTTCCTCCCTCCCTCCCTTTTCCTTCCTTCTTCCCTTTCTTCCTCGCTTCCTCCCTGCCTCTCTCCCTTCCTCTTTTCCTTCCCTCCCTTCCTTCCTCCCTCCCTCCTCCCTTTTCCTTCCTTTCTCCCTTTCCTCCCTCTTCCTTCCTCCCTCCCTCCTTTCTCCTCCCTCCCTCCCCTTATCTTCCTCCCTCCCTCTTTTCTTTCCCTCCCTCCCTTCCTCCCTCCCCTTACTTCCTCCCTCCCTTTTCCTTCCTTCTTCCCTTTCTTCCTCCCTCGCTTCCTCCCTGCCTCTCCCTTCCTCTTTTCCTTCCTTCCTCCTTCCCTCCCCTTCCGTCCTCCTCCCTCCCTTCCCTTATCTTCCTCCCTCCCTCTTTTCCTTCCTTCCTTCTCTTTCTTCCTCCCCCCTCCCTTCTTTCCTTCCCTCCCTCCCTCCCCAAGCAGATGGAGGCTGGGTTGACTCTGGATCTCAACCCACGACCTCCAAAAGCCGGGACCCGAATCCAGACCCCGCGTTTGCTTGGCCTGCTTCCTGAGCCGGCGTCCCCATCAGCTTCCCAGACGTTCAGACGTCCGGCCTGCTTTAACCCTGATTTTAAATCTTGCCTGCCGTCCTGAGCCGGGATTGAGTGAGTGAGTGGACAGTGTGTGGTTGCGTGCCCTTGTCCGTCCGTCCGTTTTACGCTCCTTCCGAGGGGGAGTTTTGTAATTCTATGCAAATAGGTCCACCTCCTTCAATACAAAAAGGATTTGCTTCGGGCTGGCGTGTTTGGCTTTCTTCCTCTCCAGACCCGACGTGGTCCTCGTCTTACGACTGCAACGGAGCCTAACGTTTCCGCTTCTAAGCGAGACAGCCGCTAAGCAAGCTTTGCCCCATTTTACCACCTTTCTCGACACAGAGGTTAAACTTCGACCGTCGTTAAGTGTGAAAACCAGCCGTAAGCCCCCTTTTCCCGGTGCCGTTGCAACTGTGAACGGTCACAGAACGAATGCTCGCAAGCCGAGGACTTGCTATACAGGCTTACGACCACCGCTGAGCTCAAAATCTCCGCGCTAAGCGAGACGTTCGTTAGGCGAGTCCTTCCAAGTTACGATTTTTCTTACCGTTGTCGTTAAGCGAATCACTGCGGTTCTTCATTTAGTAACACGGGGTTGTTAAGCGAATCCACCCCCCACTGACTCCGCTTTTCAGACGGTCCCGAAAGGAGGGAATCATGTGACCCCGGGACACGGCAACCGTCATAACTCCGAGTCAGTTACCGAGTTGACGTGACCACGGGGATGGCTGCGACGGTCGTAAGTGCAAAAAACGGTCCCAAGTCCCTTTTTTTCAGCGCCGTCGTGACTTCGAACGGTCACTAAATGGGACTGTTGTAAGTTTAGGACTTCCTGTAATAAAGGTGGGTTTTTTAAAACAAAGGAATAAATAAATACAGTAATCCTGATTAAATAAATGAGAGAACTAGCCAGCAGAGAGACCCCCAAGGGCTGGAGAATGTGGCCTTTTGGTTTTAATCGGGGAGGGTGACCGGCAGTGATTGACAAAGGCAAAACAACACAATCTGGCCGTCGGCCAGTTCATAAGTGCGAAAAACAGCCCTACGTCCCTTTTTTTGCAGTGCTGTCATAACCCTGAACCGTCACTAAATGAACTTATTAAGTCGAGAACTTAACAAAAACCATGCTACTTGAATTGGGGGGTTGACCCTTAAATCTTGGGGGGGAAGTGCCCAAACTGTGAAAGGCCGCTGAAAGTATGCAACACACACACACACACACACTGCCCCCTCCCCAGGCTTAGTCTTTGCCATCCAACCTCTGCATTAAACCATAGTTTGCTTTGTCGCGTGTGAACTCGGGCGTTGTCACCCACAAAACCACCACCGTACGGATGACGTGGTCCTCTAACCCACCCACCCAAATGTCCATCTGGTTAATATTTTGCCCAGGTTGGTGCCTGAATTTGAAACTGAGGGGGGGGGGGTTCTTAAATGCCCCCTTGGGGTTCAGACCCCAGACTCGGGAAGTGAGGGCAAGGCAAACATTTCTTGAAGACGTGGCCTTGGGATTCTCGGATTTGAGACCACCCGGTAACCACCATCACACCAGCAAGCCATCGGCAACAAGCCAACCAACTGTCCAGGCTTCCTCTTTGGGCCTCAAGAGCTGCTGGTTGGGCCCACCAGTTCCAGTGGGTGTTATCTGGGCCAGAAGAAGCAGCCATCCAGATGACACGGTCCGGTCAGTTTCCCTTCATCAAAAACGATCCTGTGGTCCCATAAGCTGCAGGACTGGGTGACAACGGTGATCCGTGGATTGGGATCTTCTATCTCTTCCGTCCGGTTCTGCGACGCCGCAGCTCGCTTCCTCCTCCTTTTTGCTACCAAAAAATCCTTGGAGGCTGCAGGAATTCGGAAGCCAGAACACTGCTGGCGTTGACCGGGATGGAAATCACGGCCCAAGGGAGCCCGTGCTGCTCCAGAGAGCGACGGATCATGTACCTGGGTAAAAATAAGGCGGGGGGGTGTTATTTATTCTTTATTTATTTTTTATTTATTCTTTATTTTATTTAGAGAACTTCTATAGCTCGTAGCAGCTCTAGGTGGTTTACAGACGAGAAACTGGAAAAAATATAATAATAATAATAATAATATAATAAAGACAGCAGAATAGATGAGAAAGAACTGGAGAAGATCACAAAATACAAAGACCTACAAATAGAAATAGAAAGACTGTGGCAAAGGTAAGCAAGGGTGGTACCATTAGTAATAGGCGCCTTGGGTGCAATCCCAAAACAACTGGAGCACCACTGGAACACCATCATCGGCATTGACAAATTCGCCATCAGTCAATTGCAAAAGGCGGCCTTACTAGGAACTGCTTCCATCCTGCGACGAGATCTGTAATACCATCAAACATCCACATCTGCCTATCCCAGGTCCTGGGTAAGGACTCGATAGGTAGACAAAATGCCAAATCCAGTCTGAACATCTGGCTGACTGTGCGATGATCAATAATAATAATAATATAAAATAAAATAATAAAAAATATAGCAGCAACAGCAGCAACTCTAAAAAGGAATAGAATCCTGCAATTTTTCTCCCAACTAAAAGCTGTCACAAATCACCAAATCCTGATATAGGCAGTCCTCATCTTAACCACCACGAATTGAGCCCCAACATTTCTGTCGCTAAGCGGGACGTTTAAGTGCCTTTTGCCTCGTTTTACGACCGTTCCTGCCACAGCTGCGAAGTGAATCACTACAGTTAAGTCAGTAACACGGTTGCTAAGTGAATCGTTACGGTCATTAAGTGAGCAACTCGGTCGTTAAGTGAAGCTGGATTCCCCATGGACTTTGTCAGAAGGTTGCAAAAGGGGATGGTGTGACACCCCCGTGGGGCGCCGCGACCGTCATAAATATGAACCGGTTGCTGAGCGTCTGAATTTTGAACGCCTGACCGTGGGGGAATGCTGCGACGGTCGTAAGTGTGAAACATGGTCCTAAGCCACTTTAAGTGGTTTAGCTGTACAAATGGGGTTTAGGGTCAGGAGAGAGGGGGGGTCTCGGCTGCAGTCCCCTGTCACTCACCCGTCTCTCCCCAGCAGGAAAAGGGCCGGGATGTCGGCCCTGGGCTGCATCGTCTCCACGTAGGTTGTGTCCTTGTCGTAACTATTGTCTGCAATGATCACCGCTTGGCCTCCGT